AATTGGTAATGCCTACTCACGTTCAACAAATTGTTGTCGTGTTCGGTGTACGGTTAACTGATTACAAGGTTGGTTCAAAATACTGTAAAGGGGAATATTTACTCAGTACTGTGTTTAATTTTAGTGGATTTGATGTTGCAGAGATATTCACCGGGATTTAATTTCACTGGTTTGCAAAGGAAATAATGCATTCTATTGTTGAACTTGACTGTTCAATCGGTTTCAAATTAGCATGATATTATCAGCGATGGGACGGATTGAATAATTAAGCTCTATACAGGTAAATACAAACGGACTGTTTTATACAAGGATTACGACATATTTGTTAACAAATAAAATCAACTTTGCAGAATTGGGAATGTAAAAAAAAATATATGAAAGTCTTAACGCGGGAATTCAGTCCCAGGCGACGTTATCAACGCACGCTAAAGGCTCATGGGTAGACGTTTCTGTGTAAACAACGACACGCTATGGTCGTCTCACGCCGGCGTTCGCAGGTGACAACTACCCCCGCTTCAAGTAAAATGTACCGTATCTACTTACAAGCATCACTTATAAATGCGGGCAGTGCTTGAGTTCAAATATTGCAGGATTCCACAAAATAACGTTTTATTCACATAATATTTACACTGTCAAAAATTGTTTCCTTTCGAGATGAATACATTTGTTTTTACATTCTCTAGAATTTGGTTTTATGTGCCTTTACAGGAAACTGCATAAATGAAGCGTAACATTTTAAAAAACATTACTCGCTGTGTGTTTTAATATTAATATACAGTCACTGACAATAGTTTATCTACACAGAGAGAATTGCATTAATTAATTCGGAATCTAGTCGTACCTAGCATGTGTCATTACCATGCCTTGATACCAGCGTTGGATAAGCAAACGGTTTGTTCAATGTTGTCTTAGTCACTTGTGATGATACATATAAAATAACTATTTGTTTTAGCAGGTAAATACTGTATACGAGCGTGAAATTAAGTTTCGTCTAATTCACGCATTTTATTCTTCGCGTTCTTCTTGCAGACGAATTACTATTATTTCAACTTTTCATTTATACGTATTTGTCAATCAATTGTATACAGCATCTCATCAAATAAAAACAAAGAGCATTGATTACTCAATGCCTGTTACTAATTCACACATTAAAAACGAGTGTTACACTTCCACTAGCCAACACACGTCCGATGATTATCGCTGCAGTTCACACGACAATTGCACGACAGTAATTTTGCCAAGTGAAAAATATGTTCTGTTTCCGGAGATTGGAATTTACTAAAATGTATTATTATTCAATGAAATGCGAGGGAATTGAAAACTTGTTCACACCAAAGTTAATGTTATGCAAAAAGTTAGTAACGATTTCATTCCAAATCGAACTGTTTACAGTGCGTTACTAAAATCACAGTCCCTCAACAGGTGTTGAGGGACTGTGCTAAAATGTCTATCGTCCGATAGATTTCATGTACAAAGTTCAAAACCTTGAAGTAGACCCAACACTTATTAATAACTTTCTTTCTGGAGGAATTAATTTTAAGTTTAATGTACTTTTTAGCGACATATTGTGGAAAGTCAACAATAATTTGGGGAATATTGTATCCAAGGAAGTTAGAGTATTTATTACTCAATTGTATAAGTATAGAAAAGAAAGTTTGAATTTAATGTGATTTTTCTTCTTTCCTTTTTCAAATATGTATGATTTGGTTGTTTTCTTCTCTTTGTTTGCCGCTCCAAAGGCTAATAAAATATTATTATTATTATTATTATTACCTGAAGAAATCAAAGCCATCTGATACCAGTGCACCGGCCGGTTTACCGTCGCCATCAATGGTCCCAGCAATTGATCCAGCATTAGTCTATGAGATTAATGACGACGTAGACGTTGTTCTAATCAAGACTGACAGTGCCTCAAGAAAATGTAAGCGAGGTACCTACCAGCATTATAGCCCCAGGATTCGAGCAAAGATAGGAAGACACGCGTCCGAAAATGGTGTAATGAAAGCCGCCAGGCATTTCAGTAGGCTGCTTGAAAATCCCATTAACGAGAGTACAGTTCGGACTATGAAGAAAGCCTACATCCAGCACGTGAAGCAAGATCGTGACCCACCAGAAATTATAGAGAAAAAACAACGTGGTCGTCCTTTACTCCGTGGTAACCAGCGTGACATCAAAATCTAGTCATTTATAAAGTCTCTGCGTATCAGTTGTGGTATTGTCAATACTTCGATCGTGACTATGGCACCACGTGCACTTGTTTTGAACAAAGACAGGTCCTTATTAATCTTGGGCCGAATCACTCATCATAAAGAGGATAGGCTACACAGAAAGACGAAGAACCAAGGCATGTAAACAAACAAGTCAAGGAGGAATATTTGCGTAAAATCGAACAGTGAGTGTCTCATCACGGACGAGTTGATCTTCAACTGGGATCAGACTGGTGTTGCGATAGTCCATCCATGCATCGGGTAACTGGACAATGGAGTTCCGGGGCAGCAAACAAGATCAGATCACAGACCTCGACGATAAACGAAAAATCACCGTCATTCTTGCTGTTAACCATACCGGCCACATGTTACCATCACATTTATTGTATCAGGGAAATACAACGCAGTGCCGCCCAGCTTTAAATTTGGGACATCAGTTACAGCACGTCATATAAATCATTATCGAATAATTATCGTCTAATAAAATCTAATGAAATGTTGGCATCACTAACTCGTATTACGTTTTTTTCCCGATAATATCGTCTAATAAGGTCTAATTTAGACACCCATGTCTGGGCAACTATTGGGGAAGATCGTTTTTCTCCGATACTATCGTATAATTGTCGGCTAATAAAATATAATGAAATATTGGAAGATATGTCTAATTTAGACATTATTAGATGATATTATCGATAATATCGGAGAAAAACGAACTGCCCCAATAGTTACCCAGACAGACCTGTCTAACTTATACATTGTAGACGATAATATCGGATAACGTTAATAAGTACAGTGTTGCGCCTTCCTCCCCGAACCATTGATCAAATACGGAAACAATGTTTCGGTATTTAGACACTGTTATCATTCCGTATGACGGTATGTGACATCTACATGTCAGAAGCTGGGGTTACACGAAGAACAAAAAAGCCCTGGCAATATTTGATGTATTCAGAGCACATCGATATGGAGTTTTTAATGAGAAAAAAACTACACGACAACAACATCGTCACTGTGTTTGTTCCGACCTGTTGTACCGATCGGCTGCATTCCAGATCGACTGAAGCCACTTCGCGAATATGTGGAATAGGTTGACAGTCACATGAGTATTGCTGTTGTTCAAAAATGTCTCCTTTTTAAAACCAGAGTTCGGACGAATACCTAACATTTGTATTCACTAGTCTTGTGTTACTAAGTATAACATTCAGAAGGAAAACATCTTGTCTGAACTTATTTTTATAAATTTTACGGTGCTGTCACACCCAGGTCTCAGATTTCAGACAAGCATTTTTCAAGTTTTTAACTACTGTTTGTGTGAACAAATATTTATTGACTGTGAATACTAGTACTTTGTTTTTCACTGCTTGAATTACGTGAGTGTCCTGTGATGTGTTGTGGTCTCGTGACATTAATCAACCAATCACTATTTGTAGCAAATGCCTTGCAAGTCCCAATGAAATTTTTTAAATATTTTTTTCTCAGGTGTGCCGTTTGAGGGCGTGCATCATATGGGTCAAAGGTGAGACTAACGTGTGATATTTTGTTTACTACTCAGCGGCTGTGTATATGTAGGTTTATTATGCGTGTATTTGGATGTTCTAATCTTGGAGTTTTTCCAGTGATTTCTCCAGGTGCAATCCAAATTACTGTAGGTGTGTCTTGCTTACCTGAGTTTTGCAAGAATTTGAGCAGGCCAACATGTTCATTTTTGTTCATGTGGTTGATTACTGGCATGTTAATTTCCGACTTTAGAGCCATGTTTTCAACTTTGTTTATCATTTTCATTGCGTACATCTGCGGCAATACAAAAATACACCGCCCCCAGCGGCAAAATTAAAAAAATAACCCCTAAACGAAATGTTCACGCATTTTAATTTTAGCGCAGAGAGCTACCTCCGCGTACTACGCGAAAATTAAACTGCGCAAAAAATGTTCCGTTCTACAGTAACTCATTTGTTGAGCCCATTTCACTGACGACATTCGCGCATAGATGTCGGAGAGGGCGCAACTCAAATCTAGCTTGGTAACTCGTAACAAAGGTCCCATCACGATAGAAGAGGATGAATACACTAAAGCTTGTTCGTTAGTGTTCCATAGTATCTATGTGTGAGCAAGCTATCTCGATTATTTGGTACGCTGGTTAGATAAATTATATACAATTATACCAGACAAAGGCTAGGAACTCGCCGCAAAGCTCGACCCAGTCGCGCGGTCACAGTCATTACATTAGCTGACAGGTCCGGATTTCACAAAAAAAGCATTACTATACAGTTCGGAACATATAGGTGGGTCTGTTTGTCATAACAATCAAACCCACCTACAAATACCGGCTCCTCCCAGGATCACAGCTACTAGACAATTTTATGATCGAGTGAGCATGAGATCCCGGGGCATGATATGACCTTCTGACACGCGGTTTTCACCTAGGTCAAATGAACACAACAATTGAAACACGTGATATACTGTACTGGTAGCTGGGTCTGTGGATGAATTAACCTATATATAACATACTAGTATTATTAAAATAACACTACTTTCTTTGTAAGATACTGAATACGAGTATTCAGTATATACTAGTACTTCAAGGGCGGGGTAAATAGATAAACATGGAACGTCACAATTAGGACACAAGAATACGGGTAGCGTCCATGTAGTACAAGACCCGATACGTAGATATCACGTCATGTTTAAAAGGTTCACAGTCCCTCGTTCACTTGGATGACCGTGAATGGCGTTATCTAACCAGACACCGACAACGTGGAGTACAAAGTGATGACAATCTATACCGTACTGTACCTGTTTTACTGCCGGCCATTGTTGTTTCAATCCGAGAGTGTGACAGTTTTTCTTTCGCGGTTTATACTGACATGGTTATTATTGCCGTCACCGTGTGGTAACTAGAACAATGAAAGTAGACCTCCACTTTACCGACAATACGTTATTCCTGGTGAGTAATGCACATTACACATGACCCGGAAGTAAATATCGTTGAATCACCGGTGTGTCGTGCACTGTTTCGCGCAATCCACGTAGCTGGCGGGTTAATACAGTTTTAAAATGGAAACCTGTCTTTTGTTTTTGTTTTCGTGTTTTGTTTTGTTTCTGTGACTCATATTTTTGGGAGTTGAAACTCTGAGGTCGATTTTGAAAATCAAATCTGAACAATGAAAATTTTGGGGATAAATTCTAAAGAGAAATTAAGCTAAAATAAATATCACTTTATACAAAACTTATGCCAGGTACATTTGATTACAGAACATAATCATAAATCAAGATGGAGGACTACATAATACAGGTGAAAAGTTGAATACCTAGGGAAACTTTAAATTGCATTCTCCTATATTTGCCTTGATCTGGGAGAAATGTGTTGTTTAGCCGGTCTTCCCCTTTAACAATATGATCAGGGCAATATTGTGATAATTCTGGGCAATATATAATTGCTAATTATAATTATTTTATAAGTTTTCGAATTCATTATTGTAAATGTGGCATTCATGTGCTTTGTATTCAATACCTGTGTAAATGCGTCATTTAATGTGAAAGTTGGTGTTTATTTAAAAATAAATTCACAGCGCTCATTAAATTTCACAATGGAAACCGGAGGCGTAGCACCTAGTTTCATTGCAAGGCGGGCCCGGGCGTTTTATCTTTATCTGGTTTATTAATAAACATGAATTTATTTTGTATTCAAAGTCTATCATTTCTTTCCTAAACCTACTCATGAATGCAGATACAGGAATTTATTCATTTTCCAATATATTGTACTCCCGGGCAATATAAGAATATTGACTTTAAAAAGTTGAATGAAAATGTAGTATTTTACTGGATAGTGACCATTTTGGCTGTATTATAACTCTTTTATGGCAGAAATATTATGCTATATCTGATTATATATTGAGACTGATGAAGTAGTAATTTTTGGTTTCCTGAATTATTTTTAAAAAATCACGAATTTAAAAAAAAGTGTCCAAAATTTTGTTTCATTGTGTTCTATAGAATTGTTCTGAAAATAGCGATTTTTGAAAAATATATAATTATGTTCCCAAAACAGACACAAAAATAATATTCGATGGTGCCATTATAATCTATAACCCCATGATTTCACATAATAAACCAATGAACATTGTCCTGCGAACTTGAATTATGACCAACTTTCTCAAAAAATATGAATAGACTTTACTTTTTCAGTTGTTTTTCGTCTTGGATTGATTTTATATGCCAGCTAATTCAACCAGTGTTTGTTTGTTTGTTTTTTCCCCTTTTTCTGTACATTTAGTATTTCCGTCTTGATTTCCGTTCGTGTTTGGTTGAACGGCACATACATCGTGACCGAATTGCTGCCTCAGATCGACCTCTGTCTAGTTGCAGTTATGTAATACCACTCACATACAAAATTCCATACGCTGGCTGTAAATGCCATACAACGACAGCTTATATATAAATACACCAGTAACTTCGTTTCAATAAGATCTTTCCACATTTTGTATGCCGCGCAACGTGCATGATTTTGCCGTGTGAAGACGTACATTGTATGCCAGGCGACCCCCCCCCCCTTTCAGCCCGCAAAAAATGCCAAATCAACTGACAAACCCAGCCCACCGGAGGTCTACTTCGGCCACGTCAATAGGAGCGCGCGCCCTTTACCGAATTTCTGGATCCGCCAGTGTTGTCTGTAAACACAAAAAAGATATTTGGATCAGCAAACAAAAACAAATCTGCCTCGCACTAGAGGCGCAACAATAAAACATATTGAAAAGACTCAATTCAAAACTATCTTCAGACTCTAAGGGTTTAATCTCACTCACTAGACCCGCCCCCATACCATGAAAGTTAAGATAGAATGTGTAGTTATATATAAATATAATTAAGATAATAGATATCGTGATATGACTTTCTGGTAATATCGTTCCGAAATCTTATTTCAAATCAGTGGCGCCATCTACGACGAAGCGTAGGCTGGCTTCCAATCTCCTGTAAGAGAATACTCTTGGCTGGTTCCCGCCTCAAGTGTCATGGCGTACTAAGCCACAAGAGGCCGGTAACTAGTAATGGTTCCAGCATTATGAATGGTCCATCACTTTCCTGTTTCTTGTTTTATTTCCCTTGGTTACCTGACGTCAGGCATACGCTCGTGTCCGTTCAGGGGTTTCCTTTTACTTTCGAAATTGGGCGAACAAAAAAATGTTTCTTTTGTTATCAATTTGTACAGAAACAGCGAGGAATACCAGAACCATTCGCAAACAGATAACCCAAATCTAAACTGTTCTTGTACCATTATTTTCTTCAAATGTGTAACGTAATAGTCCAAACACTTTCTTTAAAAGCACCATCATATAGACGAGAGTGCCCACTGATTAACACTCGACGGGTTTTAAGTATGTACAGGCATGGAGATAACCTCCATGGTACAGGCGATAATATGTTTCAAGTCTATGTTTCACCCCCGGTCTCTTCCCACTTTTTGAATTTTTTAAAGTGTATTTTTTAATATATGGAACAGGAAATCACAAGTCACTTAGCAACTGGCTGGCAACTGGACAGATCGTCGATACGGCTAACGCCTACCATGGTAACGGTCTGTGTGTCTATTTTGTGGTATGTTTGGACAGTCTGCTGGTTGCCTCGCGAATTTGCATATTTGTTAACAATCAAAGACTCGCTCTTTCGCACATAGCGTGGCAATAACAGCGAATCTAAACTAATATCAAATGCGAAGTCAATATTCCATTTCCTTTTAGGCGTTTTTATTAACTTAGAACAAGAGAATTGCTACATGTAATTATTACTTTCCAAGGTCATGCGTTTCTGCAACTGAATCTTTCAACCAATCACAGTTATGCTAATTGACTTGGTATTGCTCATACCTCCATCATTGAATAGCGCAGTTTATTCTGCGGCCAAAAAGCACATTTTCTTGGTCTTGAGCACATGGAAAAGAATTTCATAATGCGACATGGCTATATGGGCCTTCTGACTGTATGCAATTCTAATTGCGTTGTATAAGTTGATATTACTTTATTAGAATATCCAATAAAAATAGGTTACAAAACTGTGGTTACCCGACGAATTTCCGGAAAAGTAAAAATTCGGGAAACCTAATACACGGTTGTCAAGGAGAGAACCTTCGTGTTAACCTTTCGGGTAAATGACACGTAGGCAAATAAACGGGACGGGTCATCGATCGGGCGACATTTAACGTGGACATTCTGGTTAACACGTTGCCATTTTTTAAAAAAAAACTAGTAGTTTTTAATTTATTTATAGTGCCAACCAATGGATAAAATCGTACATACTGTATGGCGTGATTTTTTTATTTCATATTTGGTACATTATTTTTACAATAATATTTTTTTATAACATATATCTAATCGTTTGTTATTTTATTAATGTTTGTAACAAGTAAATAATCATTAAAGTAAAACTTGAATGTTGAACCCAAACTAGGGTCTTATTTAAATCTTCCAATTACTAAACAAATATCCAGTATTATACGAATTTACAACAATATATAGTCAATGTGATTCAAGGGTGTAATATGATCCCATGCCCAGTGGGAGTGATATAAACTCGCCTGACGCCTGAGTGTGAATATGTTACGGTGACACGGAGTTCAAACAGGTGCAAGTCGGCGATATCGGCGAGCGATTCCAGTCATAAAATACTGTAATATATTCAATGACAATAAATTTATTATTTTCATTATACCATATACATGGTTTATTGTATCTCTGTACATGTATAAATATATGGTTATTTACATGGACGCTTAATGCGAAGATGCTAAATTGTTCGAGTTACAGATCTAGACATCGAGTTACAAAAATGACCACGCCCATTTTTCAGAAACCACTCCCACTTTTGCGAAATTTTGTTGAATTTCCACATTCAGTAACTCGAATTTTATTTAACAGTTAACCCAACTTCGAGTTACGGGCAACATAAAATTTGTGTTTCGTTTAAATATATTTAACCTGTAACTCAAAGTTTTGTTAATTGTTACTTTGGGCGTGGTTGTGCAAAAATGGGCGTGGTTTCTGAAGTATAAGCCGTCGTTTTTTTCACTCGCTGCTCGTAATTCGATGTACGTAACTCGATTCAGCATCTTATTTCGAAGTGTTGTACCTTTGTCTTGTTTTACAGTTCCGTGTATGTCTCTTTTCACTCTACTGTCTAGACATATATCTCGTTTCACATTTTTACAACGTTATTCCTTTTTACAGCGCTGTTTGGACATGTGTAACTTTGTCGCTTTACACAAAGTTGTCCGAACATCTGTCTTATTTCACAGTTAATGTACCTCTGTCACATTTCACATGTTCACATTTTTGCCGCGTCTCACGGAGATGTTCCCAAGGTTGTCTGAATATATGTCTATTTCACAGTAATGTACCTCTATCTCATTGCACAATGTCGTCTCGTTTCTCATGATTGTTGTTTGCACCTACTAGTATTTCTCATGTCACAGTGATGTACATACGCCTCTTTTCACAATGTTGTCTTTCACTGTCGTGACTGTACGTTTATGACTTTTCATTGTTTGTATCCATGTCTTGTTTTATACAAGTAGCCAGTCAGGATATTTATCAACAGTCCCTCTATCAGGGACTGTGATATAATGTAGGTAGAGGCGATCATGCCACAGTGTTGTCCACACATGTAATTACTACATGTAGTTAATATCTAAATTGTCTCTATGGATGTACAACACTACACAATTTGTCGGAACAATTACTACTGTTGTCTTTGTCTTCACGTCTGTTGTATATCGGATCAGATATTGGAAACAATTAAATGTTGACACATAACTACTGTACTGCGTAACTCTGCATATAATTTGTATAAAGTATCCGTATAAAAACAATGTAAATAAGTTTGAGCATGTTTAAAGATTTTGCCTGTTGATAGTGCGAATTAATGAAAACGCTACTGCGCACGCGTCCTGGATTTATCTACGATGCCTAGTCACACTAGCGTTTTCATTAATTCACCAAGATAATACAAAAACGACATGCTCAACAAATATTATCCACATCGCCTCTTTACTTTGTATATGTGTTCGCTGACTTATTGGATGTTTTGCGTGTCACCACCACAATCAAGTCACTCAATAAATTAAGTAATATAACATCTTATGACAACATGGTTTTGAAGTATTTGATTAATTGTGTGATTGATGTTTGAAATATAATTTGCAAAAATAACACATTTGTCAACTTAACAGAAGATTAATGTACCTTATATGAATTGCCGATGGAGTTTTCAATAACAACAACATTAATAAATAAACCTGCAAGTTGAATGACATTTTCATTGAAAATAATGTATATCATAGTATAAACTGAAGGGTAAAACTGTCAGTATGCTCCATTTCAGCTTTTCGAACATCGTTAAAAGCATTGTTACAAGTTTTGCAGCATTATGTAAAATTCTCCGCTTTCAAGAGCCTTAGTAAGCTCTAGGAATAGTATACCAAGTCAAGTTCGAGTCGGTCACGGGAATGGTACACCAAGTCCAAGTAGGTTCCTGGGATGGAACACCGAGTCATTGCGCTGTGAGGGTTAAGATAGCCAGTGTGATTATCGTAGCGCTGGCCAACGCCACGCCAATACTCAGAGCTATCCAGTTCAATATCCTCGCAGATCGTGACGCTGAATATGCAATGTTTTCGTCGCCTCTTGTCGAGCTTCTCCTGGTCTAAAATGATAAATTACGTAGACTATTAATTTTATTTTGTTTGTTATGTGTTTGTTTGTTTGTTTGTTAGAATGAGATAAACACCTAGTTAACGTGTTGAGGTGGTTTAAACGCCGCTAATTTTTAACCCTATTTACGTCGGCGTAAATGGACACAAAACATAGATGTGAACACGATAAGTATCTTGGTTGTAAGGGCTAGTCACGTTGCTTTGCTCTTGCACGCAGTGACGTACATTCACTTTAGTTTACATCGTATCACGTCCATCCTATGATTGTGATGAGTTGTGATAGCGAGGTCAGTGAAATCACGTGACCATACACACCAATAACATTATAGTATTCATACTACCTCAAAAGACTTCATAACGGCAAATATTCCCACTGGCCAGAAGCAGAAAATAGTTGTCAGGATAGACGAGCATAGGTAATCCGGTGGAGGGTTTCTAAGCGGCTCCGGACTGCGTATAATGACAGTGTGTTGGAATTGAGGTCCGGAAACCTGAGAATATATACAACAGACAGAAATCATGAGAGAAGGTCGTAATCATCGATATCAAAGTTGAATTCTTAATTTCATCAATTATGTCGATTCAATTATATTGAATGGGGGTGACTGTAGACAACTTCACATCAAATAAGTACGCTTCTTAGACACGGCGATGTGGCACACATGCAGTGCGTCAAACTCGGTATAGTGTACACCCAATGCAAACATGTACTTACTATATATGCCTGATGGTCGAAGTGATTAGAATAGCGAGCGAAGCCAGTACACACTTGATTCGAATACCCATTTGAAGTACACCTGTACGGTAGCGTTAACTGCGTCGCGTACGGCTCAGTGTCATCGGGTTGTGTATCCGTGTAGCCAGCGATCGTTGTGTAGGCGGGCGGAGCATCTGGAAGCTCGGGCGAAACTAATGAATAGAAACAGAAATATGGATCAATAATCCGTAATGGTGACACCTCGAATACGGCTACTAAAGTGTCAGCGGTGCGTGCTGACTGTTCAAATAAGCCGTATGGTCTTACTTGAATTGAGTAGCGTATTCTGAACGGGGAAGGAAATATACATCATCCGTGCTCAACACATCTACGGAGAGTGAGCATGCTTTTAAATTCGCTGTCTCCGTGACGCGCCGTTGAAGTTAGACAAGATCATACAATCGTACTCAGATCAGTTTGTGTAAGATTGTAATAATCGGACAACGTGACATCTATGGGCGCGTCCTATTAAAGGCGACACCCCACCCATTACTATATAATATTGACGTACATATGTTCTTGCGATTGCGTCTATATGTTGACCATCTTGAGGAATAAAGGCATTAGTTCACGAGTACTCAATGATGCATTCCAGAAACACATGTGGACGGGTCACGTGTTTGTCGCCGTGACAATTTACCAACAGATTACATTTTTATGCATTTAAAACGATATTTCAATCGGGCAGAGCAAAGTACAGTAAGGCTGTGAAAAGTTAGCACGTCATATGTCAGTTGTCATTGGTTGTAATCTATGGGTGTTACATGCTGAGATGTATATGTCATGTAATTTATTGATTGCCCAATCCATATCTTTGATTTATGGGATGCGTCATAATCACGAGGTAGACACAACATGCAATCATGATTCGACAACTTTAAAAAAAGGGGCTTATTAAACGTACATCTTCACTGATCGAAGCTACTCCAAGACAAGATCTAAAAAAAAAAATCTCTGTCGCGACTACCGTGTATCAGAAAATATCACAAACGTAGATAAAGGTGCTGCCAGTAAGCACGGCGGTTGAGTGCGTTCCATTTTGAAATACCATATTTGACCTTTCTCCGAGATATTATAAACCGCAATAAACTACAATGTGGTCGGTCGTCCAATGCTCACTGACTCGTTGCGGTTGTGTTAGCCGTGTACGACTCGGATCTGTTTATGGATCGAGATTTAGAAACCGAAGCTCATAGTTAAGTCAGCCTCCATTTGTGGGGGACCGCCACGATGGCTGTAGAGTAGTTTTTTATGCTTTGATGTTCCGGGTTCAACGAAACCTCGCAATTCTTACCTATACCTTTATCTGACATATCTCACGGCACTGCTGTATTAATGGGTCCAATTATGTTTTCAGCGAACTTCTCTGGCTTTCCGGCACTAACTTAATGCCCGGGTAATACACAAACCCGACTGAAGACGGTCCCGAAGATGCACTGACTCCTATCAGTTCCTGCCTTGTGGTATTCCCTATCTTATCTCTTGTGAATTAATAATTTTCTAAATATTTGACGTCACTGATGTAATATTTAATTATACACTGGGTCCCATATAATAATATATATGTGTTGGTCAATATAATACGATCACATCGTGGTTGTTCAGTGCTGTTCCATTTGTATTTGTATCCATGTTCGTTTTATCTGCGTTGTCGTAAAGGTTATCTCAACAAAAACTCAAAATCACATTTACTAATGTGTTATTCGCGAGAGGACGAGTACATTGAGAAAGATCAGGCGTGTCGGTCCGTTTCCTTGTCAGCGGCTGTCTTGTACCATGGCTCTTGTTGAATTGGCCAACAGGTGTCCTAGAATTTCTGTGGTTATATTCAGAGCAAACAATTCCGAGAGCAGGGTCGATGTTTTGAGTTTGGGTGGAAAATCAATGTTTTTGAATATCGCCCGTGGTAGCAAGTTGAATCACGTTAGTATGTTCTTGGAATTAGTCAACGGTGAAAGTGTCTATATATGTTACAGAATTAAATTTGAACAAAAAAGGGGTGAATTATTCACACTCTTATATATTGACAATTCGAATATACTTCGTTGATTGATGATTGAAACAGTCAGTACATGTAATGTCGGTAACTTGAAGGCACGAAACATGGAACCCGGAATACCGCGACCCGAACAAAAGAACTGACAAAATACAGGTTGAGAGAGACAGCAGTGCCCGTAACTGCCAACTAGTGTGCTACTATTGGAAAGTAAGACTTTTTACCTTGCCCGTATCTTCATAAATGATATAAAGGTAAGCAGAGAGTGAAGATACTAGTATTCTTTTTGTTGATATTGTCACAGTGAGAGTCATTGTGGTGATTTAGCAACTATATTCTCATGAGATAAAGGGTTGAATCCACATAAATACGAAATATCTACTTGGAAAATGAATAAACTCACGAATTAGATGGTAACAGTATAGGTATTGTAACAGAATATAAAGTCCTGGAAATTATCGTAACAGATTCACAACTTCTTTGGGATGATCGTATCATAAAATAGTCTTGTACGCCATTGTATTAAAAATAAATCATCGGAAATGATTGAGATTCCATTATAAGATACATTTGGGAGTATGGTTCTCTTGTTTGGAATCCAATTGGTCATGACTATAATATTCAAATTAACAACTACATACATAAACGAAAGGTGCAAAACAAATGCTTAAGAATGGCTTGAAAAGATTGTTCGTGTTTGTAAATAGCAAGATCGTGATCGTGTAGTTTATCAATTCAGTTTGGCCTTGTAGACAAAGGTAGGCAGGTCGGTAATATTGCCGTTACCACACCCAGAACTACACGTAGTTCCTAAAAAGAAAGCACGTAGCAACTACAGAAAAGAATTAAGTCATATCAACGTGCGAAGACGTACTTTTGTATATCGATAAGCAAATTCTCAAATAAACTCCCAAATAATCCTCTAGTAGGGCATATGAACTACATTTAAAAATTCGTTATTTAATTGTCGCGCCAATGTCTACAGGAACGCCTTCCCAATTACTCTAAGAATAGCTCGGACTTCAATCATAAAATACTGAAGACAATCAAATACGGAACTGGGCTTTCTCCTGCAAAGCGTACTTTGGAAATCTGAAGACGTAACGGCGAACGGCGAGCAACGTTGTCAGTCGATAATGCCAATGATACTTCCTTAACTGTAGTAGTCGTTCAGAACCTGAAGCCTGACCTCAGCGCCCGAGCGGGTCACACCAAAAGTCACGTGACTCCGGTGAACGACCTCACGAAAGAACTAGTTAGCGTCACAATTTGTTTCATGAAGATAAACGGGTAAATCAACAAACTGAACATGGCATATGTGGGCCAAGGTATGTAGAACATCTGGTATAAACATTTGATTGTACAGGAATGTCCGCTAGTGACACTGGTGGACGAGAATTTGTATGCTGACGATTGCAGCGTGCAACTGTGTAGAACTCTGCTCTAATCTGTACTCGAAATCCCTTGATCAGGGACCTCCCGTTTGTAAGCTGGAAACTAATTTGGGTAATTTTTCTCCAACGCTCACAAATCATTGGACAGAAATTAGAACATTCGAAGTCTCTACGCATTCGTACAAAGATAAACTGCCGTTTGAATTTATAATTTAAATAATGTATAAAAAATGTATACACTCCCTTGCCTCACCAATGTGCACTACAAGGTCACTACAACCTCGTTCTTCCTATCACGGCCTTG